GCTGGAGCCCAGCCGGAGGGTCCAGCCCTCTGGCTCTGGGGTGATCTGGGGACGCAGCTCTTCTCCCCGGGGCTGGAGAGCTGCGTCCTGCAGCCGTGCCCTCCCTCCCCCCGCACAGCACGGCAGCTCGGCCTTGCTGACAGGCCAAGAAATCTTGCTTCCCTCTGCTATTGCCTAGGGAGCAGGGGCCATGGAAATGTGAGCAGGGGCTCCGGTTACAGACACCGGAGCCCTGCAAAGGTCAGCGGCCAGCTGATCCTGAGTCAGGGCTTCTCCTGGCTGCATGGGGATTAACGAGGCTGTTTTCCTTCTTCCTGCAGAGTGTGGTGAAGCTGATGCGGGGGCTGCTCCAGTGCATGATGAGACAGGTAGGGGCTGGGGAGCGCCTCTGAGCGTCAAGTGGTCTCCTCAAAGCCCAGCTCTGCCACAAAGACTGTTTGTCCTAGCTGTGTTGGCTCTCCCTAGCCTTCCCTGACAAGCAGAGGGAAGGCCCCCTTCCCGCAAGTCTTGAAATGAGCTCTGACTTGGCATCTGTCCCTGGTGTGATGGAAGTCCCCGTGCTGCAGGCTGGTGGCCAGTGGAGCCTTTGCCAGCTGTTCCCTCTCTTGTGGCCTGGCTGGTGCTGGGACTTTGCAGCTTTTCTCCCTGAGGGCATTTGGGGTGGCCCTTTTCTCTCTACACAGTGCAACTGTGGCTGTGGGCCCTCCACGGCTGCAGCCCTGTGCTAGGGTGGCACGTGAGCCTGCATTCGCTGCCTTGGCTTGTGGAGGGGCTCAGCCTGGGGGCTGTAGGATTTCTGCCCTGCCAGGCACGGCTCCACATGCTGGGCTGACAGCACAGGGCAGCCCTTGGCTCTGGGGCTGCCAGACCTCTCTGGAGACAGAGTCTGATGAACCCTTGCATCTCCTTGCCCTTCTCAAGGTGGACAAGGTGGAGGCGTTCAAGTACAGCCAGAGCACCAAGGACTGCCTGCATGCCAAGTACAACACTCACACCTGTGCCACCGTGGTGGGGGACCATGAGTGGGGTCACCTACAGATGGATGCCACCTCCCTCTACCTGCTCATGCTGGCGCAAATGACGGCCTCAGGTGATGCTGTTGGGGGATGCCATTTCAGCTTTGACCATGCTGATCTCCAGGGCTCTCCACGTTCTCAGTTTGGGTGCAGCTTCCTGGGTGCCAGGCTGCTGCAACAGCTTCCCAACCTCACTGTTTTCTTACGCCCACAGCACCTGAGGTAGATTTGGGCCCCTTGATCTCTGTCTCTGTAAGAGCCCCTGTTTACCTGAAGCCCCAGAGCTGCCATAGTGGGGACAGGAGCCAGCCAGGACATGGCTCCTGCAGGGCAGGCGTGCAGTGAGGAGGAGGGGTCTGGCTTGGATTACTGCAGCCCCTTCCTGGGGATGCCTGTGGGCTTGGCCTGACTAATCTGAATTCCTCCCCCTCCTTCAGGCCTCCACATAATTCACAGCCTGGATGAAGTCAACTTTATCCAGAACCTCGTGTTCTACATTGAAGCAGCCTACAAAACCGCGGTGGGTAGCTTATGCTGGGGAAGGGGAGCGTGCCCCGGGCAGCTGTGGGTCCCTTCAGAGCTCCGGTGGGCAGAGTCCCACAGCGCCTGCTGGGAGCACCACCGATGGGTGGGATTTGAAAGCTTTCTGGGTGTGCTGGGAACCGCTCCCTGCTCCAATGTGCTGCTGCCTCTGCACAGGACTTCGGGATATGGGAGCGTGGGGACAAGACGAACCAGGGCATCACCGAGTTGAATGCTAGCTCTGTCGGCATGGCCAAGGTGAGCCGGGGAGAGGTGCTGGGCGGGTGCCAGGGAGCACCAGTGGCCCTGTGCTGCTTTTTTACAGGGAAGGCTGGGCTTGTTGAACTGTTGAGGCTCAATGCCCCATGCAGTGATAGGTTCCTGGGGAGGAAGACCTTTCTCCTTGTGTGCTGGGATAAAACTGTGCCACTCTTGCCAGAGTTTTGCCTGAACTGGGAGTGAGAAATTAACTGGGGAGTGTGGCAGAGATGTCTAGGGCACTGTTGGTGTCTGGCTACCTGTGGCTTTGAGGATGCGGTCACATTCTGACCAGGGGTGCTCTGCAGCCACAGCAGGGTTTAAATTTGGGCAGTGCGTTAGAGGGGCTGACACAGGGTGAGAGCTCTTACAGATGAGCAGCGTGATGGAGGACTCACTGCTTTGGGTCTCGCCCTGCTTGCAGGCTGCCCTGGAGGCACTGGATGAGCTGGATCTCTTTGGAGCAAAAGGAGGCCCGCAGTCGGTGATACGGGTGCTGTCGGACGAGGTGCAGCACTGCCAGGTGAGACCTGCATGGGCTTTACACCGTTGCAGCATGAACTGTGATCTGCTGGGGTTGCGGTGTGAGCGATGCCTGGCCTGGCAACCTAACCACCCCTCCTTCCCGTTCACCCAGTCCATCCTCCACTCGATGCTGCCCAGGGCCTCCACGTCCAAGGAGGTGGATGCCAGCGTCCTCTCTGTCATCTCCTACCCAGCATTCGCTGTGGAGGACAGCGAGCTGGTGGAAATCACCAAGCAAGAGATCATCACGAAGCTGCAGGTGAGCGGCTCTGCCCTTGTCTCACCCTTTCTGGGAGACAGCTACAGTCCAAACTGTTGTAGCCCTTTTCTCCCCAAAAACATGCTCGGGGAGGGGGTACTGGAGCATGTCCTCTCCCAGTCTCCGTGACCTGTGGCAGGGGTGTGCAAAGAAACAGTCCTGTGTGCTGTGGCCCTAGGCTGTGATCGTGATGCCTGAGCACTAGATGAGCAAGTGAGGGGGTGTTTGGCTGGAGGAGAGCCCCCCCATGCTTCTGCATTGAAGGTACAAGGTATCTCGCACTGTGCCTCCTGCTCAGCACCTCTTTCCTTCCCTTCCAGGGGCGCTACGGCTGGTGCCGGTTCCTCCCGGGGGGGTACAAGACCCCC